TTGGAGAATGGACTAATGTCATGAACTACATTTTTTCAGTGCTTGATTAAGCAGGATTATTGTGCATTATGAGAATACTTCTCTGTGGATCTCATGCCTTTTATTTACAAAATGAAACAGTTGGTGGGTTAGATAATCTTTAAGTATCTCTCAATCAATCTATCTATATCTAGCTATCTCTATCCTCTGTAGGTTAGATTTATTATAAATTTATTATAAAATTTCTATAATATAAATCTGTCAAAATTTATTCTGAAATAGCTTTATATTTTCACTTTTTGGATTTGGTTGATTAATTTCAAGGAGAATAATGCAATGTTGATGGGTTTGATGTTATCATTGTAGGCATAGAGGATAAAATAAACACTACCATCATACCTCATGCTTCCATTTTCCTAATGGATATGTTTCCTCTTAAAGTAAAAAAAAAAATTACTATTACAAGTAGTAAGTATGAGAATTGTGAAATACTAAAAGGGAAGAAAGTCATGGTGAACCTAATTATTGCTCATCAATACCACTCTTTCAGCATAATCTGAAAGCTGAACTGCTTCTTTGATATCGTCTCCTATTTTATGTCTTTCTCTGACTTATTCTTGTTATAGGGACTTCTCTAGCCCATTTGATCTTGCAAAGATTCGGCTCACCATAGTCAGAAGTGAATGTGAATCTTTCAACAAGTGCTTCACAATGCAATCTTGTCTAAATCCTGACTAATCAAAATGATCAAATCATCAGACTGAATATAGCTGTGAACTAGACCTTTATAGAGGTTCTCCAAATCTCTTCCTCAATTCTAATTATGCCTGTCACTCTCTACAATGAATGACCATGCTTTACATTTCCCCATTATGTAGAACCCTGGAATAGGAATCAGTAGAAATTATTCTAGTCCCAGCTGTGCTGCTTATAAACTAAAAGCACATTAGAATGTTATTTAAATTTCCATAAATCCTGTTTCATCATTGTAAAATATGAGGCCAATAATGTTTCCATATGAATTTTGGAATCTTATACATACATTCAATATTTTCAATAGATTTCAGTGAGATCCAGAATTGGGACTAGGTTTCAGTAGTTCTCTAGTCTAGCAGATAATAGTCATTCATTTGTTCAATGAACATGTGTTGCTCTCTTAACCCAGAACTTGAGGATAAGTAATTAGACTACCTTAAAGTACCACAGTGTACCAAGGAGGGCTTCGTATTAAGGAGGGCAGTCATGAGCTGCATAATGAAGTTTCAGTCAGCTCAACTTAATGTATCCAAGTCCTTAAGCGATGCACAAACATATATATTTTAATGTTATGGCAAAATTATGTATACAGTACTTCTCTCAGGCAGAGGAAAGATGCCATCTAATTAAACCCCAAAGTGCTTAAATATACCACTTAGGTTTTCCATATACTTTAATATCTGAACTTGGGCACATTTGAGAGTGAAAGGTAGCACGATTGACACTTGCTCCAGGATAATAGGCAAAAAACAAAACTTCCTTGAGCTAGAATGACAACTGGCCATGGTAATAATATCTTGCTTAGTTCTCACTGCAAGCTTATGTTGTAAGTATTATTAGCACCATTTGACAGATGAGAAAACTCTGGAAGATGAGTCCAGGAATGACTTATAGATGAGGTGATGGTCGATTTGTGGCATAAAACGGACGTATGTGTTTCGTAGGCGGGTTAGTGGTGTTTGAAACATAAGACTAGTATAAGCAATGGTATACAGAAGGAGAAATTTCATGGTGTACTTCAGTTCGATGTGAATTGAACTTCTGGGAAGGAGTATATAGAAGGAAATGGCTGGGATAAAGCTGAAACTGTAGAATTTCAGATGTTATCTGTGAATGTCATTCATAGTGTGGATTTCATTATGGGTTCCTATTACAGTCTCCTACAACCAGGTCTGGTGAAGGAGATTGTTAGTCTCATTAATACTTAATCTGACAGAGTTAAGCCACACACACCAACACAGCTGCCTCCAGAGCCTCTCACGAGGCTGCCCATTTTTGTAGAGCATGTAGCTGTTTGAAACAGTCTAGGCAACAAACATGCCAGCTCACTCTTTTCTTTTCATACGCATTCTTTAGGTGTCCATTATGAGCTCTCTATGCAATGGGAGAAACCCAGATACATCTTACATAGTGTCTCCCTTTAAGGGATTTACATACGTATGTGCATTACTCTAATATGCACACATACAACCATAAGAAAGTTATAAATTAAAGGTTAAAGGATGTTGCTGTTCATAAGAGTTTTTTTTTTTTTTTTTACCAGTCCAGTAGCTCAGAGTGGGCTTTTTAAGGAGTGGTATTTAAGCTGGTCCTGGAAGGAAGGGATGAGTTTCGACATTCTGAGACATGGGGTTGGAACTATCAAAGAAGCAGAGAATGAAGAGAGGACAAACTTGGGAATGACAGAGATAGAAAAATGTGAAGGTAATTCAAGAAATATTTTTACAGAAGAAACTGCTGCACAATGATAGCAAGGAGCAATAATAGCAGAGAGGTGGTTTAAGAAAAAGGAGGGCCTGGAAATGCTGAGCAAAGGACTTTGGAAATTTTATAGCTACTGGGTTGGGAAAGACGGGTAGCTATGAAATAGATAAGGAATCTTAGACTCTAATTGTTCCAGCTGTCCTCTCTAAGGCAGAGATTAAAGGTAGGGACTTAAGTTTAATTTCTTCCCCTGGGAGAAGACCAGATGTGAGGCTAAATGTAAGAGTTTTATCAAAGCCCCATTTAGAAAAGCACATAATCTAGAACCTGCTTGAACTTGTACAGGCTACTCAGAGTTACCTGTCCAAGGGCTATGGTGCGACACTGGTTTTCCCAAAGATTGCTCTGCTAATGGATATGTGACAGAATTTCAGGGCGCAAAGAGGAATCTTCTCTAGAATCCACAAGTGGCATACTTCCTACTCACCAAGCAAAAATTTCCGTGTCCTTAAATTGGTGTCAGAACTTGAGTTTCATTCCAGCTTCACCACCAAACCTGGCCATTGGACACCCAGCAAAATGGCCCATGGACACATCCCATATTTACAACCTCTTTGATTTTGTTCACTATGTTTTCTCCTTCTGGCATTCCCTATCTCATTTGCCTCCCTCTTTATTTTGGGGCCATGCCTCAAAAACAACTAAGTTGCTCCCTTCTTCAGAAAGGCATCCTGATCTCCTGAGAGGAAGTGCTATCTTTCTAGTTTGAGCTGCCACAGCACTTTGTCTTCAATTCTCTGCTGGCATTTATTCGTTAATTTTTTTCCTATGAATCAAGGCATTTGCATTTTTATCTTATCTCCTTGTCAATATAAAATTGCATGAGGTCAGGAAATACATGCATTCATATCTCTATCTATCTATTTATCTTTAATATCATATTGTCCACTAAGTCTTGAGCACAGATTGTTTAAGAAAATCTCCCTTAAGGTTATACAGCTTGATCTGGGAGGAAGCATAATTGAATCTCAGCTATATGTCCCTTCTTAACCACTTCTCCCTCAAATTTTGCCTTTCACAGCCTCTGCAACAGTGATTACCAACACTTTGTTTTGGAAAGAAAACACCAACTCGTGATTTTTGCAGTCTATTGTAGAGAACGTGATTGACATATTTACCTTTGTTATGATTTTATTACTGGACAAAGTTTTTAATATATGAAAGAGAAATCAGATCTTTCAAACATAAGACATTCATTTATCATTTAAACTAATAGGATAGATAAGGTCTAAATAATAATCCTTGTTTTGTTGATGAAGAAACTGAAGTAAAGGGGCTGGCCCCGGAGCTCAGCGGTTAAGCGCGCACGTTCCACTTCGGCAGCCCGGGGTTTGCCGGTTCAGATCCCAGGTGTGGACATGGCACTGCTTGGCAAGCCATGCTGTAGTAGGCATGCCACATATAAAGTAGAGGAAGATGGGTACGGATGTTAGCTCAGGGCCAATCTTCCTCAGAAAAAAGAGGAGGATGGGCAGCAGTTAGCTCAGGGCTAATCTTCCTCAAAAAAAAAAAAAAAAGAAACTGAAGTACAGAGGTATTATGGAATTTATCTGAGATAATCATTGGTGGGAGTGGCACTAAGACCAAGGTGACCCAACTTCTATCCATTTATCTCTTGCCATTATAAGTTGATATGCATGCTCTATCACCAACTAAATGGAAAAAAAAATTCCTCACTTTATTGCGTTGCATTGATAGCATATAATGGATAGTTAACATATAAATGAAGGAAAATAAAACAAATAATGTTTATTAAGTATTTTTGTTTGACAGATTCTTTACAGAGATTATAGTATATCCTTTGAAAAATACTAAAAGATAAGTGTTATTATTACCATTTACTAGATGAAGAAACTGAGGCCTACAGAGATCAAGTAACTTGCCCAAGATCATATAGCTAGAAAATAGCAGAGGCTAGATGAGGGCTTCTTTCCCAATATTCCAAAGCCTGAATGTTTGTCATTAGTCAAAATGGAAAGTGGCCATTGGATCAAATCTTGATTCTATCTCTTACCTTTGAGAAGTTTGTTTACCTGTCTGGGTTTTACTTTTATCATTTTTAAAGTAAAGATAATGCCTACCTCTAACAATTGTTGTAAGAACTTAATGAAATTTAAAGGGCTTTGTTTATTGACAGGATACAACAATCAATTAAGAAAAAGAAAAGGTAGTCCTCTAGCAACAAGGTCACTGATTAGAGATGTAAAAAAATGAGATTCCAAGATCTTCCTGATTCTAAAGCAACTGCTTTTTCAATTATAACATATACTTGCTGTAACATATACATGTCTTTCAAAAACATTAATTTTTATTTCCTTCAGATCATAGGGTTAAGGTTTACAGAAAATCAGAAAATTCTTCAGGAAGTAAGATTCACTCAGTGAACAGATGATAATCTGGGTAGTGTTTACTGGACATTTATTTGCATTTTCTATCTGCTGCCATCATCTTTCTACCACTATCATTTACCTGTGGTGATAACATATTTCCATTTTTTGTTACTATTGAGGTTTTCTTCTAATTGGTTTTTTGAAAGCAGCTTTCACATCCTTGTTCTGTAAACTGTAGGTCAAGAGATTCAACATGGGGATGATAATAGTGTGGAACACAGAGGCCCACTTGTCTTGCTCCAGGGAGTAGCTGGATGTTGGTCTCAGGTACATAATTACAACTGTGCCATAGAAAAGTGTGACGCCTGTGAGGTAAGACCCACAAGTGGAGAAAACCTTAAGGCGGCCTTCATCTGAGTGCATTCTGATGATTACAATGAGGATGAAGGCATACAAGATGAAGATGATGAAGATGGTGCTGAATTCAATGAAGCCACACAGACTAAAGAATAAGGTCTCGCTTATGTAAGTGTCTCAGCAAGAGAGGGCCGAGAGTGGTGAGATTTCACAGAAGTGGTTGATGATACTGGAACCACAGTAACTCAAACTGAAGGTGAGAGAAGTGTGGGAAACTAAACTCACCAGAACAGCCAGGTAAGAGGCCAGCATGAGAGCCAAGCAGACTTGGTTAGACATGAGAGTGCTATAGTAGAGGGGTTGACAGATGGCCACAAAACTGTCATAGGCCACGGCAGCCAGGACATAGCACTTAGCATCCACAAAACCCACAAAGAAAGAAAACTGAGTGGCACAGCCAGGGAATGGGATAACTTTGTGTTTTGTTAGGAAACCAGCCAGCATCCTGGGAGTAATTGCCAAGGCGTAGCCCAGGCCAAGAAAAGAGAGGTTGCAGAGGAAAAAATACATTGGTGTATGCAGCTGAGTGTCAGCTATGATCAGGAAAATCATACCAACGTTCCCCACTACATTGACCAGGTAGACCAAAAGAAGACTCCGAAGAAGATGATCTACAGCGGAGGGTCCTGAGATAAAGATAAACTCAGTCACCATTGAGTAGTTTGCTTTATCTATCTCTTCAATTTTATGTGTGCCTGGATCTGCTTTATTATTTGGACTCATTCTTAAAAATATTGCCAGTAATTATACTCTATGACCCCTGGGATAACTCAAATGACTTTTGTGATGGTCGTGTGTCATCTCCAGGTGCTCAGTAAAAATAGGAGAAAGTGTTAGCGTGTTGGGGATGGCAACTTCCACTTCTGCAAAGATCTTGGTGCTCTGAGGTCATTTATCACATGGAAATGATGTGGAGTCAGTGAGCCGAGGAGTCGAAAGAAAGATTTCTTGGACTCTCAAGATCTGGCGATAGTGCTCTTTTTATTTAGAGAATAGAGTGGAATAGCATGGGGACAGGACCCATGGGCATTCAGAGCTGCCGCTACCGACATGGGGACGAGACCCATGGGCAGTCAGGCTGCTGCGTGGGTACAGGGCCCACGGGCAGGAGGAGCTGCTGCTGCTGCTGCCCCCACTACTGCTGCCAACATGGGTGGAGAGTAAGGCTAAATTTGAGGCATAGGTATGTGAGCCATCTCTTTACAAGACAAAGGAAAGAACATGTAAAAAAGTTAAAATGGTATCAGTGCAGGTGGGGTCTGGCCATTGGGTGGTCCCACAACTTTTAGATAAGAATCAAATTGGATTAAGTAAAGGCCAGAAGCCACCACCCTAAATCAGTTACATGAGGTTGCCAGACAGTAAACAACTTAAGTTCTTGCCTGCCCCATTAAGAGTTTCTAGCGATAAGGCCATCCCCCTTCTTCCTGGCACAGAGAGGAGGCATCTTTACAGATGGAGGTTTCCCTTACAAATGTGAATGTTTCCTGACAAATGGCAAGCAAACTACAGTCCTCAGAACCTGCTTCTCATCTGCAGTTTTAAAAGTATCCAGCCTAAAAATCCTCATCAGTACCAAAAGTTTGACCTGATCTCTGGAATTATCTGTCCTATTAATTAGTAAAGAAGAACAGTTTTGAGTGTTCCTTCCTTCTTTCTAAAACAAATCAAACATGAACAGACAATGAATAGACTCCAACTCTCAGTACAAGTAGGCACAAAAATGAAAATGAGACTCAGGGATCTCTAAGTATAACATATGATATACACACATATACAGAAAGTGAAATACTTAGAGAAGAGTGTGGGCAATATTAGAAAAGGCAATGGATAATAACAATTTTTAAAAAGCCAGGAGTTAGTGAGCATTAATTATATGTGAGAAAGTTGAGTGCTTTGCACACATTACATAATTTCAACCTCACAACCACTCTATGAAGTAGGTACCACCACTATCTCCATCTCATATCTAAAAAGAACAAGACTAGGTATTAAGTAACTTCAACAAAATCAATAGCCAGTAAGTAGCAGTGATGGGTCTATCTGACTCTAGAGTCAACTTCACTTTATCGTCTTCGGTGCATATGGGATTTGACGGAAGTTAAATCTCCTTAATTTTGTGCTTGCCTTTCTTTTTCCTGTCTTGCCTATCGCACATGGACACAGAATTAGTCTTTTGGTTTCACTGATCTTTAGAAGCACCCAGTGATTTAACATGGGACATGATCAGGGTGAAGACACAGCTGTGTCTTTGGATACTTCTATTGTCTAACCAAGAGGTTGTTGTACAGCTTAGTTCAAAGTTAAGATCCAAGCATCCCTTACTCAAGGGGAATAGAGAGAGCATTATCCAACTCTGTAGTCACACGGGAGCATGGATTTGTTAAACTTTTTTCTCTTTAGTTGGATGAATATCTAGTCCATTGAAGAATTCTAAGAAGGAAGTAGGCAACACTAAACCAAAACAAAACACAAAGTCATTTAGAAATTAGTAGCATCCTCTCCCTAAACCTGAAGTGAGAACTCAGGCTCTACCTACTTTAACTGGTTTATTGCTTAAGAAAGACAAGAAAGCACAGTAGTATAATGTGTCTTTCATTGGGGTGTGGACATTCACAACAGGTTATCTTAAGTCCTAGGTGAGGTGAAACTACTGACCTCATCTCTCAATTTCCTCATAGAATATAATCAACTGCAACAAAGAAGGGGCTCTAATAATGAATAATCAACACTACATGTCTGCCCAAGAGTTTACAGTTTATAAAGTACTTATATCTCCCCCTATTCAACTCACTCTTAAGATGTTGTGAATTTCTTGATCATTTCATATATTAGGTTAATTAGAAAACAGAGAATGAAAAGACAAACCTTGGAGAAATTATTTAAAAAATATATTTCTCAAAAAGAGCTTGTACACTTAATATATAAACAACTCTAAAACTTGGGGCCGGCCCAGTGGCCGAGTGGTTAATTTCATGCCCTTTGCTTTGGCGGCCTGGCTTTTCGCTGGGTAGGCTCCTGGGCACAGACATGGCACCCCTTCTCAGGCCACGCTGAGGCAGCATCCCACATGCTACAAAGAGAAGGACCCACAACTTAAAAAAAAAAAAAAAATCTACAACTATATACAGGGGGCATTTGGGGGAAAAAAAGCAGAAAAAAAAAAAGATTGACAACAGTTGTTAGCTCAGGTGCCAATCTTTAAAAAAAAACAACTCTAAAACTCAATAATAATAAAATAATATAAAATGAATGGGCCAAAGGTTTGAATAGACAGTTCAGCAAAGAAAATATAAGAATAGGAAATAAATGCATGAAAAATACTCAAATCATTTGTATTAAGGGCATACAAATTAAAATCACAATGAGGTATCACTATGCATCTGTTAGAATGGTTATAATTTAAAAAGATGGACCATACTAAGTGTTGTCAAGGAAGTAGATGAACTGGAACTTTCATCACTGTTAGGTGTGAATGTAAAATAATACAACTACTTTGGAAAACACTTAGGTAGTATAGAATTAATCCTGAACATATCTACCCTGTGGTGGAATGATTCTAGAAAAACCTGGGAACAGTACAAAGGGCCATCAATAGGTGACAGGGTAAATGAATTATAGTATGTCCATAAAATTGAATATTATTCTCCAATTAAAGGAATAAAGTATTGACACATGCAATATGATGAATGAATCTCAAAATAATTAGGCTGAGAGAAAACAGCCAGATAAAAAAGGGTATACCTGATATGATTCCATTTATAAAAATCTAGAAAATGTAAGTTAATCAATAGTGACAGACAGTAGATCAATGAAGATGTGAGTAGAGGTGTGAGTGAGGAGGAACAGGAGGGAAGGATTGCAGAGGGGTAAGAGGAAACTTTTGGGGGTGTTGGGTTGAGTGGGATGATGGTTTTGTGGGTCTATACATATATTAAAACATATCAAATGTATACTTCAAATGTATTGCATGTCAGTTATACCTCAATAAAGCTGTGAAAAAATAACAATTTGCCCCTATGCCAGTTTAGCTCCTTCTCACTACATGTGAATAAATATGTCACTTCATAGGTTATGTGAATGAGGAAACAAAAACTTTGGCTGGGGAGACTTGCAAAGTCACACAGTTAATTAGTTATTTTGTGTTACTTACTTGGAGAATCAGCAAATGAACCTGAGACTGCCAATTTCATATATACAGCTGTGTTGATTTTCCCCCCACTTCTTCATAAAGGAATTTGAAAAAAATTCACCGTGAAAAAAGCAAAAATAAAAGATCTACCATAGACCTTCCATTTTTCATCTGTTCTCCCACTTTAGCAAGAGGTAAAATAATCCTATTGTTGACACTGGAAGGAGTCATTTAGTCCAATCTCCTAATTTTATAAATGAAGAAACAGACCCAGACATCAAGCTTGAAAATGCAGGGGTGATACCAGACTGCAGTACTTAGAAGAGTAGAGATGATTGATAAGAACACAGCACAGAAGGACTGATCCACAGCTGGGCATGTGCTGAACAATTCATTGCACTGAGAATATGTGATTAGAAAATAATTCTCTCCTCCCTTGTAGATTCAGGGTTCCAGTTAATTGAGGAAGGATATGAAAAGGTGTTTCAGCAATCATAAATTTCCCTGCCTGTTCTCTCTTAGAGTGTACAGAGAAATCCAGTCTTTGCTACTTACTGCTCTTGATTTCTAGCACACTAGTTATCTCCAGCTTTTCATTTGTTAAATGAGATTAACACTTACCTTAATAACTTTCCACAAAAAATTGGTTAGAATATATATATATATATTCTATATATATAGACACACACACAGTGCTGAATTCAGTGACTGTCATGTGCTACATGCTCAAGCATTTGACAGTTGTATGTGAGTGTATATAATTTAACTCAGTAGATGAGTGTGCACTCATAACTCCCAGAAGGAAAAAAGATGTTCAATGCTTATTCCACGGAAGTGATGTATCATGGACTGCCTCAACCTTTAAGAAAGATGTGGTTTTAATTAGAGAACACTTAAATTAAACGATAAAACAAGTAGAGATGAAGATAGAAAATTCAAAATCAGGGCAGATTAAGACTAAAGTAAAGAAAACTCATAGTTTTTCTTTTTAGTCTCATGTGGCTAAAATTCAGCAGATCTGACTCTTGAAGAAATGGTAGAATAGTGAGTAAATAAGCATATTCCATAGTTACTAAACTCAAATATTTTTAAAAGACCGTCAAAAGCAGCGTCTTATAGAAGCAAACACAGGCCAAAAATTTCTTAGATTTTTATGTATTACCATCTTTTGCACTTTTATATGAAAAGAATACTGGAGTACAAGTCTGGAATCTTGGCTGTAGTTTTGTTTTTTGCACTAATTACCTGATCAATTGTTGTATCAGTTGCAGTTTCCTTATCTGTGAAATGAGTGAGGTGGAGAATGCAAACTTGATGGAGATTTCCAATTCTATTATTTTCTGAATTTGGAGTTATTATGAGATAACTAAATGCCAAACTCAGAATCTATGTCTCATTTTGAAATTTGAAAATGGCATGGACCTGGTCCCACGCAAACTCATGCTCACAGGAGCACTGGGCAGTGTAATGCTCCACTCCCAACAGGTCACATCTCTTTCCCTCTGGGTTCCAAATATTGAACTGTAACCTAACCTGTTTTCTACCTATTGGTGAGAAGTTGAATGTCTCCTCTGGCCTTGATGAATTATAC